TTGAATTCTATGCTTCAAAAAAAGAAATCAAATGCTAAACCTAGGAAAGTTCCGAAAGAATTCGTCAAGAACCAAGCTAAAATTAAACAAATCAAATATGATTATGAAGAAACAAAAAATAACAAGATCAAGGTTTTCACATTAAAGAGGAAAGATCAAACAAATTTAATAAAACTAACCTATATGATTGATTCCCCTATTGCTTATCCAGTTTCTGTAAAAGGCTTACGAGGATCCAAACACCTTCGGATTCGTAAATCTGCTTAATTTTTGCAGGTCATTCGTGACGAACAGTTTGAAACTGAATGATATATCGATAGTGGCTGTTCGTGTCACATGACGGGAAGAAAGGAAGAGCTAAGAGAATATAGAGAATTGAAGAATGGTGGTCTCGTGAAGTTTGGCAGCAATGCTCTTGGAGAAATTAAAGGATATGGCATGATAACAGATGGTGATTTTTTAATTTGTAAGGTGGCGTACGTTGAGGGAGTGCAACATAACTTAATAAGTGTTTCACAGTTAGTTGTGGGTACCAGTCTAAAGGTCTCGTTTGATGATGAAGGATCGGAAATTATCGAGAAGAAGACGAAATCAGTGCTGCTAAAATCAAAACGAAAAGGCGAGATGTATCCATTAGACATCAAAACGATACAAGGGAAACCTTCTATATGTCTGGTAACTAAGGTTTCAACAGACGATATTTGGCTATGGCATAGGAGACTTTCGCACCTCATCTTCAAAGACATCAACAAGCTAGTTCTTGGTGATCATGTGCGAGGTCTTCCTTTCTTGAAATAAGACAAGGATCATCTCTATGCTGCATGCGAAATAGGAAAGAAAAGCAAAAAAAATTCATCCTTCTATAATGAACATGAAGGCCATTGAGCCACTCGCACTACTTCACATTGATCTTTGTGGCCCATCTGAAATCAAAAGTATTTGTGGTAACATATATATTATCGTTGTTGTATATGACTTTTCTCATTTCACTTGGGTGTTCTTTCTTAAACAAAAATCAAAAGCGACTCATAGACTTAAAGATTTCATCAAGCAAATGGAGTTACAACTGTGAAAGATGGTTCATAATGTTCGAAGCGACAATGGTCTGGAGTTTAGGAACCAAGCATTCGAAGAATTCTTCACTGACAAGGAAGTTTCTCACAATTTTTCTACTCCATATACTACGCAACAAAACAGAATTGTTGAAAGATGAAATCGTTAGCTGTGTGAAGCAACTAGGACCATGATTTCATTCGCATCACTTCCACTTTATTTATGGGCTGATGCTGTTGCCAACACCTGCTTTACTCAAAACAGATCGCTTGTTAGTAAAATATTTTATGTTACTCCCTATGAAATCATCAATACATGAAAACCTAATGTCAAGTTCTTTTATTTTTTTTGGTCCAGGTGCTTTATTTTTAATTCAAAGGAAAAACGAAACAAGTTTGATGAGAAGGCTGATGAAGTCATCTTTCTGGGGTATTCACTGTGTCGAAAGCATATAGGGTTCTAAACAAACAGTCCAAAAGGATTGAAGAAACCTACTATGTAACATTCGATGATAATTACTTAAAGAAGATTTAAGTGAATGATTGCAACACAAACGAGAATCTTTCCTTAAATAAACCAGGTGACTGTTCCCTTGGCTAATCTTTATGAAGAATTTATGCTTCTATTTGACAAACCTGAGAAGGCAATCACATCTGAAGCAAAGGCACCTAATAACAAAGAAGATGAATTGAAGAAGATAATCGATGAAGTCGCGAATAACATGGATAATCAGCCACCCACCACGAATGTGCCTCGAGACACGAGTATTCCTGTCCAGGAGGAGAATTTCACTTCAAATTCACATCTGCAGGGGGAGCAGTTGACTCAGCAAGAGACGAACATTCCATCTCAGGGAGCAGGAGATCCTTCAACTCCTAATGAAGAAAATCACTCTTCATTCGAGGGGGAGAATAAGGATGCAGATGACGATTCGGATGTTTAATCAGAGTTCGAAGAAGAAAACGATGAATTAGATCCTTCTTATGATACAAACTACCCACAACTTGTCAAATGGACCAAAGATCACCCCAAAACCCAAGTCATTGGTGAATCCTCGACAGGTGTTCTCACGAGATCTCAATTAAAAGCGAAACGAACTGCTTTATTCTCTAAAGTGGTATTTTGCATGCTTAATTCGTTCGTGTCCAAAATAGAACCCAAAACCTTCAACATCAATCTTGATCATTCTGATTGGGTGCAAGCGATGCAAGACGTACTCAATCAGTTCGAACGAAACAAATTTTGGAGATTAATTCCAATTCCTCCTGAAGCATCAATTGTTGGTTTGAAATGGGTGTTTCGTAATAAATTGGATAAATAAGGGAATGTAATAAGTAAGAAGGCGAGACTAGTTGTTAAGGGTTACTGCGAGGAAGAGGGTATCAATTACGAAGAAACCTTCGCACTTGTTACAAGATTGAAATCTGTTCGGATATTCTTAGCATATGCTGCCCATAAGAACTTTGAAGTGTTTCAGATAGATGTTAAATGTGCGTTCTTAAACGGGGAATTAGAAGAAACAGTATATGTTGAACAACCACCTGGGTTCGTTAAGTGACTTATTGACTAATAACTTCAAAACATGGAAGAAATCTTGAGTTCATGAGTGTTTATCATGGTTTCATAACATATCACACAACATATCATGAAAATATACACATGCATGCATAAATACTAAGATTAAACACAAAATCAAGCTTGTATTCCCCCCCCCCCCCCTAAAGATGGAAAATCATGAAAACAAGGGGTATGAAGCTCACCATGGGATTTGATCGGTTTTGAAGAGGAAGAACGAGGTGAGTTTCGGCCTTAGCTAGCTTCTTGAAGAGATTTTTCGATGTTATATGGTTCTAGGAAGCAAGACACTAAAAATGGAGTTGCATGATGAATCATGATAGTGTAAGATAGAAACAAAACATCTTGAGGGTGGTAATAGATTACTTAGTGTATCAAGGTTTGAGAAGAGCTTCTTAAATGCTCACACACCCACGGAAATTAAGGGAGAAAAATGAGAGAGTTTTCCTTGAGTTAGAGAGGGAAGTGAGGAATGTGACTGAAGTTTGAAAAAAAATGGTGGTGAGGAGGGTGGCTTGCCGATTAAGAGATGGAAAGGAGAGAGATTAATGGTTATTACTTGATGGCTAACACCTAATTGCGTAGATGCATGAGGTGTAATGTGTGTGTTTAAAGTCCAGGTAATTGTGAGGTGTCATCATTTTAGCTAATGCCATCTTTTACTTTTTTTTTATATAAAATGATGGCTGATTAGCCGAATAGGAGAGGGAACAAAAAGGAATGTTGGGCTTGGGTTTGAAGTGTAATCGAGAACCCTTAGGCTCGCCAGGGTTGCCGGTTTTAAAGGTCTAAAATAATTAGTTTTCGGCCCAACAGGGGCCCAATAATGATTCTCGACCTTGGAAGTTCCATTAAATGGTTTTCGGCCATAGAATGATTTAGGAAAAATGTCCCCAACCCAATAAGGCCCAATAAGAGCTCCAGTAGTGATAAGCGGCCCATGAGGATCTAAGAAGGTTTTCACGACCCAATAAGACCCACTAAGTCTCTTATGGCCCAAATCGGTGCTGAACAATCAATTTCGACCCAATTATGGCCCAAATATGGGTTCTCGGCCCAAAAGAACCAAGTTGAGAGGTTACCGGTCCAGTAGGCCCAATAAGTGAGTTTTGACGCATTAAGAGGTTTGAACCGAGAAGCCATGGTTAAAACCCAAAAGTTGAGTGAATATAGTTTATTGAGTTTGTTTTAGAGCTTTTATGAGGATGTTTCAATTTGAGACAAATTCTGGAAGTGTAAAGTGATATAACCTTGAAGTTTGGTTCACCTTTAAATATATCGTTACATAGTTACACAAAGAACTATCTTGTAAATGGATAGAAATTCTGGCCCTAAAATGCTAGTTGTGACACGAAGAACCATATGTAATCCGATTCCATCAAGTCAATTTCAAAATTTTTTGCAACCATGAATTAGAATAAAATAAAAAACCTAAATTTATTGAATATTTGGGATGTAGATGAGGTTCAAGGAAGCATTTGAAGTTGATAGCATAATTGTTGCCAAGATTTCTGAGGAAGATTAAATTCCTCATCGTATAATTCGCTATATGGTTTTATAGTCGAAAAGTCCGTATCGGTAAATATGGAATGTGATTAGGTCTAAAAATAGGAAGAGAGAGACATAAAAGATAGTTTGAGTGGTAAAAATAGAATATTGGTTCATAAGAAGAAGCCAAATGACCATATAGAGAATGAAAAAAAAAATGTGGCAATTATTGGAGCCCGGCCCTTCAGCCTTATGGCTATAAGACTTCAATTTTATATTCAATTGTTTTTAGTAGGGGTGCAAACGAGCCAAGCTACTCGCGAGCTACTCGAGATCGGATCGTTAAAAGCTCGACTCGAAATCGATTATAAACGAGCCCGAGCCGAGCTCGAGCTTAATATTAAGCTCGTTTATTAAACGAGCTCGAGCTCAAGCCTATGTCATTAAGCTTGATTAGGCTCGCGAGCCTAAACGAGCCTTTATATAATATAATTTAATATTATTTATATATATTAAAATAAAAATATATTAGGGGAATTATGGATTTAGGGTATTAGTAAACGAGCTTCTTAACGAGTTCGAACCGAGCTTAAGCTTATTTAGACACGTCAAATAAAAAACGAGTCGAGCCCGAGCCCGAGCCGAGCTTGTATTATTTTTTACGAGCTCGAGCCGAGCTCAGTACAAGGAAGCTCGAATCGAGCCGAGCTCGAGCTCGAGCCTTATATAACTTAAACGAGCCCGAGCCGAGCCTGATAATGTTCGGGCTCGGCTCGGCTCGTTTGCACCCCTAGTTTTTAGTTAGTTTACTTTTAGAGAGTGCTTTCGTCACGTCAACTCGTTTTTCTTTGAAATTTTTTGGCTCATTTTGTTTATTATAAATTTTTTTATTTTATGTAGGCATGTGCAAATATTCCATCCACCCCGAATTTAAATTTAAATCTATGTCCCACCTTTGGTAGTCACACATTATAAGACAAAATACCGTTCATATATATATATATATATATATATATATATATATATATATATATATATATATTTGTTTTAAGAAACTAAGCTTTAATCGTATTAGTTGAAAGTTTAAAAGGAAGAAAACAGAGAAGATGAAGAGGGTGTGTGTAACAGGAGCAGGAGGTTATATTGCTTCATGGGTTGTGAAGCTTTTGCTTTCCAAAGGTTACATGGTTCATGGAACTGTAAGAGACCCATGTATGTTCTTTCTTTGGTTTCATTTCATAATCTCTCTATTTTCAACTTAATTCTTATTTATATACTATAATCTTGCTCTAATAGGCTTCACTCTATTGAAGTTTGATATGGTTTTTCTTCACGATTTTGCTCTAGTAAGGCGTTGACCTATTATTTATACATATTCTTGGTCTAATAAACTACCTAATCACCCACCTCTTACAATATGATATCCTAGTTTCTCTCTCTATATCTGAAGGTGATGAGAAAAAGAATGGTCATCTGAGGAAGTTGGAAAATGCTGAAGAGAGGTTGAAGCTGTTTAAGGCAGACGTGCTAGAATATGAAAATCTTTGTGCTGCCTTTGCTGGTTGCATTGGGGTTCTTCATGTTGCTTCCCCTGTGCCTGGTGGACGTGTATCTAATCCTCAGGTAACCACTTCTTTTTATATATATGGCACACAATCGGCTTGATAAATCTTTTAAATTTGGAGTTAAAATTCTTTTTGACTTCTGAAGCTAACCAATCTCATATATACTAGCGCTTATGATTTGATCGATGATATCTAGAATGTGAGAATGAGCATGAGGGCCTTGTATTTATCTTGTTGTGAATTCCTTCTTAATTCTGATCATCATTTGAAATAGAATTAAAAGGTTTTGTAGTTCCTGCATTATAAGATTATAACAAATGCGGCTAAAGGAGGTGTTTGGTTAATTTGCAATGAGAATCTGAAAGAATTTTAACATTAAGGAATTTTAAAATCATTTCTTTATATCTTTAAATTTGTTTTGTTAATTAGATTTTAAAAGATTTTGAAGGTAAATTGTTTATTGATTTTTTTGCAAATTATTTTCTGCATTATAAATAGATACCAAAAGTAAATTATAGATACTTGCAAGTATATTTAAATTACCCTTCTATTAATTTCTTGCTAACAGAATATATATATATATATATATATATATATATATATATATATATATATATTTAAAACTTTTTTAGGTAAAATATATTAAATTATACACGTCATGTTGGAAATTAAATTGTTTGATTTTTCTAAACATTTTTAAAACTATTTGCAGATAGATTTATTTTATAAAGATTTTTATTACACTTTATAAAAACTAAAGGGGTATTTGAGTAGTTTTAACAAAAGTGTACAACTTCCAATAGAATTCCATATATATGGGGATGTAATTCTGAAATCCATAGTGAAAGATTCAATTCTCTAATCATTTGCACCCAACCCTCAAAAATGGAATGGAACTGAATTCAAATGCACCAAAATTCACTGAATCCGTCATGATGATTGGTGTTCAAACTAATTTTTCCAGCTTTGACAAACCAACCAAAATTTGGCAGGTGGAACTACTTGATCCTGCGATATTAGGAACAAAAAACGTATTAAATGCATGTTTGAACGCTAAAGTGGAAAAGGTTGTTGTGGTCTCGTCTGGATCTGCTATTTTGGTGAATCCCAACTGGCCTTCAGACCTGGAAATGGATGAAAGCTGTTGGACAGATATAGAATATGCCAAGTCGATTGAAGTATCTTATACCCTAAACTTCATTTTTCTTTTAAGTTATATGGAATTAACTTTTAAGAAAGTAATTTGTGTTGTGGTTTTATTTTTCAGCAATGGTATGCTATATCGAAGACAGTAGCAGAGGTTGAAGCTTTGGAATATGGAAAACGAGATGATCTGAGTGTTGTAACAATTTGTCCAGCCTTTGTCATTGGGCCAATGTTGCAGTCGATCATAAATGCCACTAGCTTATTTCTTTTGAGCTACATGAAAGGTCAGTCATTACTTGCTATTCGTCTTTTTTGATCGTCAAGCTTGTTGCAATAATTCTTTTATAAAGCTAGATTTATTAAGTACCCAAAATGTTGGAATAACTTCCAAACATCAAATTCAAAATCTAACCAAATTTTGTAGAGATTGGCATTATTTGTAGCAAATGAACCCAAATTTTGTGGCGATTTAATATTATGTGTTGAAAAATGTACACAGATCTGATGGGATACAGTAATATTGAATTGCGAATTCTTTAGTTAAAAGGAATTTGAGGGACGATTTGTTTCGTAATATGTTTTTGGAAGAAATGAGAATCAGTTAAAAAAAATGGAATCCAAAGGGATGGAATATGAAAAAAAAAAAATCACTATTTGTCACACTTTTGTTGGCAGAAAATTGTGATGAAACTCTATCAAATAAATTGTTTTCAAAATTTATATCTAAAAAATAGTTAGTATAACAGACTTATATTCCATGTCAAGGACCATAACTTTGACCCTCATATATAAGTGACAAGAACTTTAACTTTGACAGAAAAAATTCAAAAACCATTTCATACACTTTTTTATTGGAAGAATAATGTACGCTTGTAATTTTCCATCTGGTTCAAGAGGAAGGTAGAATCGGAGGGGACACAATACAGGATGCAGAACGTCCATATGTAGATGTTCGTGATTTGTCAGAGGCAATTTTACTATTGTACGAGAATCCTAAGTCCAATGGCAGATACATATGTTCTCCATACTCACTGAGGGCAAGAGATTTTGTTGCAAAGATGGAGAGCATGTTTCCTGGCCATACTTATCCTAAAATGTAAGCTCCACAATCCACCTAATAATTTCTAAGATTTATGTTATGAACCATTGGCTCTCCATGCTAGTTTATGGTTTAGGGTTTTAACAATGCGTATACAGAAACAAATGAGGTTTCAAGTCTCAGCAGCCAGTGTGCGACTATCGAATTATCAATTCCAATGTAAATTGGACTCTTTGAGAGCACTCGACTGTTCTTTCATCTAACTAACAGACCACAATGATGTCTTTGGGGCAGGATGGTGTGGGATATGTTTATCAACTATATTGATGTATTTAAATTTGATCTTTTTATTGACAGTTTTACAGAGAAAAGTGATCGTGCGCTGCTCAGTTCGAAAAAGTTGATTAATTTGGGATGGAGTTATAGACCATTGGAAGAGACCATAGTTGACACTGTAAACAATTATGAAGAACTTGGTTTCCTGGAGAAAGGGAAGCCATTTCCAGCTACAATTAAGTTCTGAGTTATTTGCATCGGTTTCTCTTTGTGAAGATAAAGTTATGTTGTTGTTGTTGTTTTTTTTTTTTTTTTTTTTTTTTTTTTTTTTTTTTTTTTTTTTTCAATTCTCATCCTTCAAGAATAGCTATGAGACAATGTAGTGTAACAAATAACATGAAAACAAGAATATATTTATCTTTTCTCTCCTGTACATTTTTTTCATCTTCAGACTTCACTTCTTGTACTTGCATCCATGCGGAAGACGTGGCCAAGCACGTTATTAATGTCACCAACGTATGTTTGGTTTCTAGCCACGTTCCGCAACTAATTTGCTTTGTTATTGGATAGCAATCCATATTTTTCGTAGTTTAGGTAAAGAGAGTTAGGCAGACTATTCATTTTAAAGAGCATAAAGTTATGAAATTTAGGTGAAATGCTATTTCCGATATTTATAATATTACGTGTAATTTTTTGATTATTATGGATATTCCTTTTGTATATGAACACTATTAGAAGATCAAAAAATAGTTGTTGCACAATCCATAGGTATAAAGCGGTACCTATGGATTTGCCACCGATTATCTATGGAATATCGATGACATTTTTCATAGGTAATTTACCGACGGAATACCTACATAATATCTACTAATTAGTGTAGCTACGAAATTGCAATGAATCTCTTACGGATGACCGACGGAATTGCATTGACTAACATTGACTTGATTACTGATGGCCATATTTACCAATGATTTTTCTGTCACTATTTTGTAGGTATACGGCATATTATTTTAAATAATTATTATAAAATATCAAATATTGCCATTTTTTTGTTGTTGTCAAATATGCAACATATTTAAACACAAACCTAACAACATTACAATTAAAGTTTCAAAATACAAAAAACATGCTCGAAATACAAAATTTAACACATTTCATTGTTCCATTGACACAACATTCATACCAACTAAAAATTAACAAACAATATCATTTGTTCTATAATACTTATACATCATCATTGAGTGGACTACGAGGAAGATCACGTCCTTGAGTGGTGTCACATTCATCATCATCGCCATTAGTTCCATTTATTATACTACTTGTTCTTGCATTTCTTGAATGGTAGAAACTTCTTCATGCAACCTATTAACCTAAAAAATGGTGACAAAATTCAATACTTAAACCATAATAGCAATCTACTTGAGTTTATTATAACAATGTATTATAGTTTATAATTATAGCAATATACTTAACTTTTAAACTATAATAGCATTGTATTTTTGTTAATTGTCAATTTAATCTATAATAACAACATACTACTTAACTTTTAAACCATAATAGCAATGTACTTTTGTTTATTATCAATTTAATCTATAATCACAACAAACTACCTAACTTTTAAACAATAATAGCAATTTACTTTTCTTTCTAATCAATTTTATTCATAATAACAACATACTAAACTTTTACACAATAGTAGCAATGCACTTTTGTTTTTAATCAATTTTATCCATAATAACAAAATACTACTTAACTTCTACACCATAATAGAAATGTATTTTTGTTTATTATCAATTTAATCCATAATGGCAACAAACTACCTAACTTTTAAACGATAATAGCAATGTAATTTTGATTTTAATCAATTCTATCCATAAAAATAAAATATTACTTAACTCATAAACCATAATAGCAATGCAGTTTTGTTTATTATCAATTAATCCAAAATCAAAACAGACTACCTAACGTTTAAACTATAATAGAAATGTATGTTTCATTTTAATCAGTTTTATCCGTAAGAAAAAAACTACTTAACTTATCAACCATAATAAGAATGTACTTTTGTTTATTATTAATTTAATCCAAAATCAAAACAAACTACCTAATTTTAAAACCATCATAGCAATGTACTTGTGTTTTTAATTAATTTTATCAATAAGAACAAAACACTATTTAACTTCTAAACCACAATAGCAATGTACTTTTGTTTATTATCAATTTAATCCATAATCACAATTAGTGTTGTAAAACTCGTTGAGTTGGCCCATTACTCCTCTGAGTACTCGCTACTCCCCCTCTTGCCGAGGCGAGTTACCTAATCCCGAGTATTCCCCGATCAGCCCCTTACGAATTAAGTAGTGTTGTGAAATTCGATCAACTTGGTGATTAATATGTATAATATACTTAATAATTTATTATTTAACACACACACATGTGGTTATTGCAACATATATATCTTAAATTTTTAGTAATTATTCACGAAATGAGACCATTATGTGTTTTTTATTTTTTGTGTATTCACATGTATCGAATTTTGTTATATATTTCAATCAACTTATAATTTTATCTTATGATTTTCACATATATAATTTTCCTAAAAAATTTCTACACAAATTTCCAAATCCGAGTACTCGCTACTCGGTAGTCGGCCGAACAGGTACCGATTAACGAGTTCTACAACCTTGATCACAATAAACTAACCAACTTTTAAACTGTAATAACAATGAACTTTTTTTAAAGCAATTTTATCCATAGTAACAACATACTAACAACACACGTCTTCTTGTGTGTTGTTGTCCGATTAGGTGAATTATCTGGATCGTGTAGATTAGGTAGATGGTGTTCCAGAAACCAGATAAATGACATCCAATGTTCCTATACCATAGATATGGCCCATCTTCTATCTATAGTTTCTCTAAAGCTAGCTTTCAATCCATACTTTTGCATCGTCCTTATGATTTTACAGATATTCTCCATATTTTCTCACTATTCCCTGTATATATGCATCCTACAATTTATCAAAACAAAACCACTGTCATATACATAAAACTAAGACAGAAAATATAAAAAAATAATAAAGATAAGTTACTTTTGCATCTTTGGTAGTTTATGAGCAATGTTCTATATCTTCAAGGTCTCCCTCGAAATAAATTGTTTTGGACTCGTTGGTGCCATGTGTCTTCACATAGAGATCATAAAATACGGGTTCTTTACCTAGCTGTACTCTCTACATAAAAGACAAAGTATAATTGATGTAATTAGTGTTAAAACAATATAAAATAATAAAATTGATAATTATGATACTAACCAAGTTATGATTGTGCTTGGCATATCCTATGCTACAACCTGTATGCCTCCATGTCCCCCTATTGGAAACAGGGGTGTTCTGGTTCTTCTGAGCAACATATGACTGCTTTCTCCATTTCTCTGTGCACCAATGTTTGTAAATGATACTCCTTCCGTCCCATATTAATTGTCCACTTTTGACTTTTGAAGTCTTTTTTCTTCAACTTTGACCATAAATATTTTTATGTGTGTTATATATTACTTGATGAAATTTATAAAAATGAAAAAACATTTAAAATACAATCCATTCATAAATTTTGCATCAAGTATTATTTAAGAAAAAGAAAATTATTTAAGGTAAAGTTGAAGTTTTCTTTCTTCAACTTTAACCTTAAATATTTTTATTTGTATTATATATTACTTGATGAAACTTATAACAATGAAAATACAATCCATTCATAAATTTTTCATCAAATGTTATCTATCAAAAAAGAAAAGTATTTAAGGTCAAAATTGAAAAATAAAAACTTGAAAAGTCAAATCTGGGGAATTAATTTGGGTTGGAGGTAGTGTGTAGTGTGTGTGTGTCTATATATATATATATATATATATATATATATATATATATATATATATATATATATATATATATATATATATATATATATATATATATATATATATATATATATATGATAGGTAATAAAAAATCAGCAAAACAAAATAGTAATGTATTGTATCTCTTAAGTCACACAAACGTGGCCACATAGACTCCGGTACCATATGGAAACAGTGTTGATATATCTCACGAAAGTAGTTAATACGACCTTTTTCGAGGGGTAGCACAACAACTCGTCCCATTTTGGCAGATAACATCTTCAAATCCCTCATCATGTCCTTATATCTATTCTTGAGGACATTTTTGAATGACATATATCGACTCATTCTCCGCTAGGGGTGAGGATTTGGATTGGATTGGACCGAACCGGAATGAATCATCTCTTGGACTGGATCAGTTTCGGAAAATATTTTGGACCGTGGATCGAACCAGATGAGACTTACCGAGTCCAGGTCAATGTCCGGATTTTCCGGTTCTCGTAACCGTTTGGACGGGTACAAATTTATATGCATACGACTCAACTTGTTAAAACGTGTTTTTGGGTTTCATATAACTTGTTTAAATGAATATGTTATTGGGTTTGATATGTTACAACTTGTTAAAATGAATACTTTTTTGGGTTTGATATGATACAACTCGTAATAATAAATACATTTTCGTTTATTGTGCCCTTTGGACCGGTAAAACATTGATTTTTTTTATACTTTATACCATTTATTTGAAATATTGTAACTCATGGAATATAACACCAAAAATAACAAAATAATCTAAAATTATCTACAAACTTTAAATTACACATTGGAAAATGGTGTATTTCAATCTAACTTAAATCGAACGAGACATGCTTGTTTAAAGACTTTCACAGAATACAGAAGTTTAAATTTCTTGTTGAAAAGTTGAAATATTTCAGCTTTCATATCTCATCTTTGAAGGATTGTAACACATTGAATATATCACCAAAATAACAAAATTGTTATCTAAAATCATCTACAAACTCTTAATTACACGTAGGAAAAAATTGCATGTCAATCTAACTTAATACGAATGAGATATGCTTGTTTAAAGAATTTCACAGAATACAAAAGTTTAAATTTTTTGCTGAAAAGCTGAAATATTTCAACTTTGATATCTCATCTTTGAAGCATTGTAACTCATCAAATATAATACCAAAGATAATGAAATTATAGTCTAAAATCATCTACAAACTCTAAATTACATGTAAGAAAAACTGCATGTGTAACACCCAAAGCCTTAAAGGCCATGAAAGGAAAGAAAGCCCTGATTTTAAGGGTCGACTCGGCAAGTGTAACATCATAAAATTTCCAACCAAAAATTTTCATTTTTTACAACCATCAAGACATGAGTAATTAGTTTAGATTCTCAAAATAACGTC